GGCCCCATTACCAATAAACTTGATTCCCTGTTCCCCATTACCTATAGGATGGATTCCTTGTGCCCCATTCCCTTTAGAATGGATTACCAGTACCCCATTACCCATAGGATGGATTCTCTGTGCCCATTACTCACAGGATAGATTCATTGTACTTCATTACCTATAGAGTGAATTCCCTGTGCCCCACTACCCATTGAATAGATTTACAGTTCCCCATTACCCGTAGGATGGATTCCATGTGGTCCATTACCAATAGAACTCTGACCCCTTGTTCTGCTGATTTCAAAATATTTTCTGAGGCTCTGTGTATTTGTGATGATGGCTTTTATGTACCGGTACTTGAAATTTCCAGTTTATAAATGTATGTGGAGAAGACTTTATATATGGGGGCATGGTCCAAAGGGATGGTCAGGAGCATGAGATCAGAAGCGCAAATTCACTTTTTGTATTGAAGCCCAGTATAATTTTTAACTCCATGAAACTTCTATCGCAGCATTGTCAAAATGTAAGTATGCTCTGCTTTTTTTTTCTCAGAGAAATAGACATTAACAAAACCCTATAGAAAATTCACTGTGACCCTTAAAAATTACTATTGTAAATAGCCACATCCCGCTGCTCCAAAAGAATTGTGATAAGAGGGAGTTATTTAATCTTGGCATATTGCATATCTGCATATTTGCTGTCAATCAAAGCAGAATAAAGTAAATTTTTCTTGAATGCATATCAGATGACACTGCGCCCTGTGCCGTTTTAAGATGTCTCCTACCAAATACCTTTCCAGAGATTGAAAACCAACAAGAGAACATTTAGCAGAATGTATCACCCATTCTAGCAGCATTTAATGCTGATTTTTATTTCAGAATTCAACATGTTTTACTCTTATCCCTCGGACTGAAGGATAGAGGTAAATTGAGGTTGAATAAAAGTGGATATTTATTTATTTATTTATTTTAAATTCCGAACGTCAGGTTTAAATAAGTTGTGGGCCTTTTGTTATAAAAGAAGTGTTAGGATGGGTCGAATGCCTCTTCAATAGCAGACATTTAATGAATGCAGAGTCTTGGAATATGCAAGAAAATGAGATTTTATAAAGAGCTTAAGCTCGGGAATGAATAATTATGCCTCAAAGGGATCTTATTGTTTTCTCTTTTTTTTTTTTCTATCTGGCTTTCAGAGCATGCAATTATAAGAGGACAGTTTGGTGTTACCCCGTATGTTTACCTTACAAGAATTTTAATATAAAAAGAAAGACAGAGCAATGTTCTCTGAGAGATTGTGTCAGATATTGATGGAGAAACGCAGGCTTCCCAAAAGTACGTCTACCATGCGGAAAATATGAAATCCATATGATGATTATCTACCAAGTATAGATTGTTTTTTTTTGTTTTGTTATTTATTATTATTGTTTTGAACATCTGACATACTTGGAGAGATGTCTCAAAACTCAGAGATAAAAGTCACAAAACAAGCGTCATCTGAGCCCGTAGATACACAACGCAATGCAAAGTGTTCTAACAAGATTTTTGAGAACTAAATTTGTATTACTCATCAACTCATTACATGATACCCCATCCCACTGGGCAACAAAGGGGAGTCAGTTTTAGGACTATGATAAAATATTTGATAAAAGAAAAAGCTAACTGAAAAAAACCAAAATGTATTATAATGTGATGTATAAAGTAGAAATACATAAAATGTAAGGTTATTTTAAATATATATTCAAGATATGTTGCTTCTGACTCATGAATGAGATGATTGCTACTGTCTTAGCATAGTTTGAGTTAATGTTTAGTTCTGCACTATTTGTCCAAATCCATCCAAGTTTGGGTGGCAATGGTAAGCTTACTCCAGTGCTCACTGTCCATCGCTGATGCCCAAGGTTGGAATTAGGTGGATAAATCATAAATTCAGTTGCTACAGGGCCAGGCTTTGGATGCTTGAAAAATGTTCTGATTCTGGTCAAACCGTTTAAAACAGATCCCGAAAGGGAGGTGGAGGCTCTTGAAAACTCATTGTATCAGAAGCAATGCAATAATCTGTAGTTGTTATGGTGGTAATTGTCTAAATAATGGATGTTTTACTCTTTGCAGGGGCCCCTCTCATTGCAAAATGCTGATAACTAAGAAATATAATTGTATTCCCTTTCCAGGATGTCAGCTTTGCAGACCCCATAGCAGGTTAATATATTACTGTACAATATACAGTACAGTGACCTGATTACACACAATTTGAGCCAATTGTACTTAAATGTTTGAGTGGATTAATCTACATTCTATACATTTTCTGAGTACAGACATCAGCAACTGGATTTATATAATTCTATGTTTATCTGCAAGTTTCACACACTTGAACGGGTCTGCCTGCACTTGTATCTGTTCGATTTCCACTATTACTTAGAGAATGGGTTTAAGCAATTCTATATGTATTTTTAATTAGATGTGCAAGTTACACACATTTGGATTGACCCATTTGCAGATGAATCAATAAACTAGTCCTCTCATTTAATTGACAGTGTCTTTCAGAAGATTTTGGAAAGAGTTTAAGGTTTTCTTAGAATTTGATTGATTTTGCTCGCTTTTCTGAGTCAGCAGCAGAAATTGACCTCAGTGAAGACAAAAAGAAGCCGTTATCTAATGGAACATTGAGTGACGTTTGTGCTTCACTGAGTGGTTTCTTCTGCTTGTGGACCTGGAACTCATCATGTGTTTGATAAAGAACATTTTAGGTTGAAAGCTTGCAGGCACTTTTGGTTTGTATAGGTCTGTGTCTTCATTCTCCGGAGACATGCATCGAGGATTGGTAATGACCGGACTATATATTTCTTGTAACATATTACATATTCTATGTTCCTATTCACACTCATATTAGGTGTGTATGTCTAATGGGTAAGGGAACGGAGAGTAATTTGCTAATTTGTACCATAAGAAGTCTGGAATGTGGGTGTATACCAAGGGGATTGAGGGTCTTTTTATGTGTCATTTTAGCTCCAGAGTTTTAGCTAAAGGTTCTTACGTCATTATAGTCATTATATCTATGTAGAATAGTGGAAAAAGGACCCGCGCTCTTCTTCGTCAACTTCTCTCCCTGTAACATCATTGAGCTGTTACATCTCTTAAGCATCTATCAAGTTTTTCAAAGTATATACTACTGTTTGCATTGTGAGTAGAATTAATGTATATTTTTTTATAAAGAAAAACAACTTACATATTTACATTTTTAGGTGAAACTGAAAAATATTTTGGCTAGCTATTTAAAGAAGGAAGATACGCCATTCTAATTACCCTTAATATACAGGAGGATGTCACTGTGCGTCCTACCTGCTTTACAACTGCTCGGACTTACAAGCAGCTCTCTATCATGGGAATTCGAGGGATTCCTCACGTTAGAGAGCTGGTCTATGTTTGGGGAATTTTCCCCGAACTTAGATTTCAGCGATTATCTGCACTAGTGAGCTAATCTATGTTAGGGGAATTTTTCCCGAACGTAGATTCACGAGATTCCCTGCGCTAGTGAACTGGTCTATGTTCTGGGGAATTCCCCCAAACAGAGACCTGTTCTCTAGCGCATGCTCTCTAGCACATCCTCACTTACCGGTCAATTTGTTTTGCGACATATTTATTACATTTTTGCTTCTCCAAGAATACACCCTAAAGATCAGAGTACGTGATTCTTCCTTTATTGTATGATATCATCTAATAGATCAATGACCTGTCTCTCAAGTACAAGAAATGCCATCTATCTATCTATCTATGTATCTATCTTAGAATCTATCTCTTTCTCTCTCTCTCTCTCTCACTCTCACTCTTTTTCTCTCTCTCTATCTGTCCATCCATGTCTTCCTGTCTCACTGTCTCTTTATTGGTATATGGAAGCTTCTGTATTTACAGTGCAAATAGGCTACTTGGGTACTTATCCAAAGCAGTGGACATGGTGAATGAGATTAATCCTTCGATAGATTGAAAGCTCTCATCTATAATTAGCTAGGGTGTAACACACAGAATCAGGACAGTCTAGGACATGTATTCCTATAAGGCTATAAAAATGATTAGAAAATAACTACAGTTTTCTAGATTGCTAGTGTCTGATCATGGTTTCTATATATCTCTGCTTTTGCTAGCAGCTGCTGCGATGACTCTTGATACCTCCGAATTGAAAGTAGCACTTGAACATGTTCTTTAATTAATTTAAGTTTGTGTTAACTATTTCAGTGACAGGACATTGCAATCAGCTACATTGCTCACCGAGAAAGTCCTTCATGCATCTGTTAAGATTAATTGCAGGAATATAATAAGTAATACACTTATCTAACCAATGGCGTGAATTAATGATTTTCGTTTTATGATTAATGTGTTACCTTTTGGAAAGTTGCCTTAAAGACAAGAAACCTAACAGGTTTAATACATTTATTTTTATATTTCTTGCAGTATCTTTTAAAGTGGCTTTCTTTCTTTAGAGTAAGGGCTATGTCAATTTTTTTTTTAAAGATGTTTAAGCAGTGATCATTAAATGTACAGGAGTAAGGGTATAATTCCACATACGAGTATAGTGGATAGTTTGAGGTTAAATGTTCCCAGCTGTGTGTTCAGTTACGTGGCAGCTAAAAGTGATGATATGCTGTATTGTTATAACTTTTGGCCAATGCATCCCTCCGCGCTTTACAATTTTATAAAAGGGATACGTTTAACAATAAATGAGACAATTTCAAATTGTTACAAGTGTGTTAAAGTGACCCCTTTTTGCTCTAAATCCAGCAATTAATTTACACATTATGTGGACATATATTACCTCTATGACCAGAGGTCTATATCTCACATATGTTGCCTGGGTGGGTCCCTCAACGGGACAAAATGGCTATTCTGCATATTTTAATTGCAGCCAAAAGCATTATAGCAGGCAAATGGACGCCAATATCTATTCCTAACTTAGTGCCCATTAAGGAAAGATTACTACTAGTGATGTCCCGAACGGTTCGCGAACGGTTCGCCACGAACGGTTCACCGCGGACTCATCATTCCAGCCAATCAGCAGCAGACCCTCCCTCCTAGACCCTCCCATCTCCTAGACAGCTCACTAAAAATGCAGCTTCAAAATGGATGCTGTCCAGGAGGTGGGAGGGTCTGGGAGGGAGGGTCTGCTGCTGATTGGCTGGAATGATGAGTCCGCAGCGAACGTTCGCGAACCGTTCGGGACATCACTAATTACTATGCTCAAAAATGTATGAGGAAATGCCATGTCGTATGTTGGAACTGGAAGAAAAGTATGTGAATGTATGGTCTCGTTGGAATCCTGGCCTAATAGCGAGAGTGATTGCAGTTGTAGCTTATTTGTTATTTATTACAAATTATTTATACTTAATATTTATTATTTTATTTTTACTTTATTATTTACTTACTTACTTACATAGGGAATTGAGCTTGTACATTTATTATAATGTTTATTTAGTTGCTATTTTTTTTCGGTATTGTTTTTGTTTAATATCGTGTTTGCCAGATTGGAAATGAAAAATCTCTTAATAAAAATGTCAATTTAAAAAAAAAAAAAAAAAAGGTACAAGTACAATAGATTGAGGACCCTGCTCAAACAGTTTTGTGTAATTTTGACTAAAGATCTAGACCCAAAAAAGAAGAACGGAACCATAATAATTGTTTCTAACGTGACTTCCCAATCTTCTTGGAAACACTTTTCGTGTACTCATATCCAGCAGTAGGCAGAATAATAATGTCATTCTAGAGTAAAATTTTATAAGGGCATTTATAATTTCTTTCTGTTTCAGTAGATCCCTGAATTGTAAACTAGTGTCCTGGAGTAGCAGACATTGGATGTAGTCACCCACCTTGCTACATGTATTAACATTTATAGTGGAACTTTGAAATGTATTAATTCTAATTTCCTCACACCAGTAAACACTATTAGGGTGAGGAGTGCAGTGCATATAAAGTTTAAAAAAGCACCATTGCCCCATTATTCTATGTGGGCTCATACAGGTTCATGTATGCATCTGCTGAAAAATACAATGTAAGCAGAGTTGAACAAATGGGCATTCTTTCATTAGTGCCTTATGCACACATAACACCAATGGGGTAAAGTAATTTGCATGGTATGCCCTGGCTGTGCCAGGAAAACTAGGCACATGATATAAAGTTCAAAATAAAAGCAGTGCAGAAAATAGAATAAAAATAAAATAGCATAAGCTATAGGAAACTTTTAGTCAGTTATTGGATTGTGCGGAAAAAAAACAGACATATGGCACTTCCACGTAAACATCTTGTTGACTGCATATAATGTTTGCAGAACTGTTGCTTAAAATACGTTGTTTTGTTCTGGGTCACTTACTGTGTGAGGTGTCAGAAGACACCTCTTATTCTATCCCGTTAGAAATTATACCAAACAAAAGAATTTTCAACTGCCAAAAAAACCAAAAAAACTGTACTGCCGATTAATACAATAAAATATACTTTGCTTTACTCTTTAATTTCTGCTTGATAAGTTAAACAGAGTTAAGTGGCAGCGTCCCCAGAGATCTTCCCAATAAGCTTCCCAACAACAAAATAGCAAGAAAGGCAAATGAGATACCACTAAAGGTTAAACAGAATAAAATACAATAGTGTAATACTTTTACATATATATTGTGATAGCAAGTTAAATTGCACTCATGGGATATGATGGGTTAAGAGAACTCCAAAATGCCTCTCCCAATATCCTGGGGGCTATACAGCTTATACCACATGTGTGTAGAAGGACACCAGGTATAAGCAAAGAAGAAACATTGTGTGTTCCTGCAGGAAATATCTTAAGAGTTTATTAAGATAATGAAATAACAAACGGTCCAAAGCGTTTCTTCCCTGTTAAGGGTCTTCATTAGGGAAAAGAATAAAAAAAATACAAATTTAAAGAAAACACAATGCCACATAAGGAATTATCCTCAAATACAATTCAGGACAATTGTATATGAATTTTAGTACATAGTGTAGGACTCACAAGGGATTTACCTTGACATTGGCTGGTTAGCTGGTCACACAATGGCACTAAAAAGCAAATTTATTTATAACAGAGTCCTTAAAAAAGTTGACCCCAGCAAAACATCATTGGAGTTGGGGGGGGGGATGGAGATGTCTACTTTTCAACCAGCAGTGATTTGTACACTTGAATTTGGGACCATAAACAGGGCGTGTGTGGGCTTTCTTTTTGCACCCCACTTTAGTGTCAGTTAATGATGTATCTTCAGACCTGACACCCACCATAAGTTAATCTATAAAAAACCTATATAAAAACACCACTGCGAATATACATCTAGCAAAAGAAAAATGTTGTGTTCTTTTAACAGCGTATAGATCTATTTAGCAGATTCAGAACATGTGTCCACACAAGTCAAGATAATCTTGCAAAGGAATAGGAAAGTTAATCTTTCCTGAAACCACTGTGAAGCCTCAGCCATAAATGTTGATGAATCCGACCACACTACAGACAGACCATCACCTCTACACATACAATGTCCGCTGTACATTGAAATGCAGGCTTACCGCAAGCCATTATGACGGGCCTTGACCCTTGTCAGAGGCACACCGTTGAATTTGCTGAAAGGATAAGTTAAATTCTTTCTGATTGTCTCTCTCACATTGGAAATGTAACTACTGATATCAAACAGCTATCTTCCCTGGTCAAAACAATAAACATAATATCTAATAGTATAAGTTATCGCATTAGACACGATTACATAGAAAAATATATTATCTAGATCTTAGAAGATTCTTGATAAAAAAAAAGATATAGTGTACGCTTCACAAAATCTTTAGTAAAATGTAAGGGCTTTTTCCTGCAAATTTCTATTTTTACAACTAGTGCTGCAATATGTCAGATATAAAGGGGGAAGGGGGGGGGATACACGGGGGCCTATGCATTAATCTCTCCATAGCTCCAGCAATTAAAATTCATGTTATATGAACAGAGCTTGTCAAAGGTCCCTTTGCTTTGATAGCCTTAATAATTATTTCATACATTTTTTCTGAGGCTCAAATCAAAGAACGTTTTAAAACAATCTCCCTGTCACAATTTCAAAGCATAAAAAAAAAATACAATATGGAGAAAGAATAATGTTTGTGTCACTGCTGACATGAATGAGATATATTACTTCGGAGTGGTGGGAAATAACATTACATTGTATATGGGTGACGTTCCTCCAACAGGTTCGAGCAAGAGGTTTCCTTTGTAGATTTAATATAATTCGCTTGTGGATTACCACAAAAAAAAAATATATATATATAATCATAAAGGCTCAATATTTGAGAAAAGACTTTTGGAACTTATTTTCTAGTGGGCCAGTGAGGATTGTGTCTATAATTCTTTCTTCACAGTCTAGAGATGAGGATTGGCTCAAAAGAGTCAAAAGAAGAAATACAATACAGCATGGTCTGGACTCAACGTTCTAGAACCGAGGGACCTAGAAGTTATCTTATTGCACAAAATCTAGTGCAGATGGATCCAAGTCATCTAGCTTACATCGTACATACTTGGAAATCTAACACAACTCACATGAACAAAGTCTAGAGTTGGGGGCTCCAACAAACCTTATAAATCATAGCCTAGAGTTGGGATAGGCAACCTTTGGCACTCCAGATGTTGTGGACTAAAAGCATCAGCGGTGATGTAGTCCACAACATCAGGAGTGATGAACTTTGCCTACACCTGGTCAGAGTAAGTGTGCGTAATGCGGTTTGCTTATACCAAACCATCTAGAGTTTTGGAAACCCAACACAGCTAGCTCCTATGACACCATCTATAGCAAGGGGATCATATACAGTTAGTTTACCCTTACTGACTAGAGGAATTTAACTAAATTCACTCAAATAAAACAGTCTGGAGATTTGGGATCCAACAGAGTTAGCTCATTCCTCACAGTAACGAGTTGGGGTACAACACAGTTAACTCATGTGATAGAGTCTATAGCAAGGATAATTTATTACTTTTAGCTTATATTACATAATCTAGAGCTGTTAACTCATATGACACAGTAAATGAAAGGGAGATCAACACTGGTTATGCCTTGCTAACTAGAGTAGGGATATCTAGCACTGCACCCCTTTAATAACCGATCATATTTCAGTGGTGATGGTTCCCCTTTAATAACTGATCATAATTTAAGTCTCTACTTGAACACCTGTTGCTAGACAAGTTAGGGATACCTTATTTTTATAAATATTTGGTTAGCACAATTTTAGGATCATTTTCAGTCGAAGGCTTAATATTTTAGATCATATCCTATTATTTTTGAGTACCATTTGCATTTCCTTTTATAAGCCATGTATTATTTTTTGTGTATATTTATTTTGTGTCTGTATAACTCATCCTTTGTTATTTTGAAATAAATAGCATTGTAAATTAATGCAGATTTTATTTTGGTCCTTTAAATGAGACTTGGAATGAATATTTGCTTCAGGAGCACTTAAGGCTTGGATAGTTTACTTGATCATTATGTTTATTGTGGGCCCTGCAACAAACCATTGTATTATTGATTGCAAACTGTGGTTGTTCTGCATTATAGTTGATCCTGGAAATACCAAGTCATTCATTTTAAAGATTGTGCTTCTGGCAGCTGAAATGTTTCTATTTTGTGGATATTCAAGCTTAATGAGAAAGTGCCTTTGATTGCAGAAATAGGGCTGCAGGTATAAAACAGAAATTCCAAGCATCCAACCACTACATTCTAAGCATCATACTACTTCACTCCAAGCCCCTAACCACTACACTCCAAACTCCTAACCACTACACCCCGAGCACCTAACAATTACATCCTGAGAACCTTACTACTTCACTCCAAGCCCCTAACCACCACATCCTGAGAACCTTACTACTTCACTCCAAGCCCCTAACCACCACATCCTGAGAACCTTACTACTTCACTCCAAGCCCCTAACCACCACATCCTGAGAACCTTACTACTTCACTCCAAGCCCCTAACCACCACATCCTGAGAACCTTACTACTTCACTCCAAGCCCCTAACCACCACATCCTGAGAACCTTACTATTTCACTCCAAGTCCCTAACCACTACACTCCAAGTACCTAAACACCACACTTCAAAAACCTAACCAGTACACCCTGAGCACCGTACTTCTTCACTCCAAGAACTTAACCACTTCACCCCAAGCAACTTACCACTACACTA